CCTACGTGGATTAGACCAACTGTTGTGGATTTCATTGACTGGTGAGGCCAAGTTTTTGTTTGACCGCCGCTAGCTTTTTTCCAGCCTGACCCTATATCCGCTAACATAGCTCGTCGAGGGAGGCGATGGCTTGGCATACGTAACACATGTCCTAACCATCTCAGTCTTTGTAACTTCACGACTTCGTCGATTGATTTCCCCTGTTTACCTAGAACTCGACGCCTAACCGCAATATTGCTCACCTTATTATGCCACTTTACACGGGAAATAGAGCGCAGGCACCTATGATCAAATACAGCTAGTCTTTTCATGTCTTCCACTCTCAGTGGCCAGGTCTTGCTCACCGCCATAAAGGAGGACGGAGCAGACTGATGAGCAGTATACACGCCCTTTGGTCGATAATCGAACATCTCGTCTACGCCAGAGTCGGCGTAAACTGGCATATGCGAAACGAGCCTGTGGGACCACCTTTTCGTCGCTTCCTATTGGGACTCCATTCAAGTGATGGTCTGCATTGTGTGCGATCTCATTCGACAGCCTCTTCAATGGCGTATGCCCTATCCATCTCCACATTTTCTTCTACACATTTTTTGAACAATCAGCTTTTGTTTGGTTTCTTAGTGTTGTTGGCTTGTATAATGTAATTCGCAAGAAATACTGTGAGGATGCCGCTTACACTGCAACATGTTGCCATCTTTAACGATTTCCTCCGGAATGTTTGATTTATACTTTTATCAACATAAATGCAGGATAATATCAGAAGTAGATCCATTCCCACAGTTACTGGTTTCCATAATATCAGTAATAAAATACATTTATTCTCCTTTATGAATTTGATTAAGTGGTACCATCATTGTTTATTTCCTTGGCTTCTCATGTTAACTCTAACTGTGTATACAAATTTACATGTGCCTTTGGGAGCAGTTACATTTGGAGAACAGAAAGAAGAAGGATAAATACCTTCGATTTTTTGAACATTTAGCAAAAAGCCTAGGTTTCGAGGGAACAGACGTTTCCATTAGTGCCATTACTAGACATCTCATCAATAGGAGTCATGAGGAACACGTTATTAACAGATAAAAAAGCTCAGACCTCCTGAAATTTGTCGAAGTAATCTCTATCTTATGCCTGAAACTTAATTTATGTATTCAGGAAGAAGCAAGTATGAGTCTTTGCTTGCCCATCCTGATAACTGGATGTCTTTATCCTATCTTTCATTTGGTTACATAATCTTTGGCTTTAATCTCTCCCCTTCCTTTGATATAGTGTAATTCTGCTTGTCTCTCCTTCCTTTGACTTGGATTGTACTCAGTTTATTGTTACTCAATTTATTAATTAGTCATCGTCTCACTCACCTCTTGTCTTCATTACGTAACTCTTTTTACCATTGTGTGCATACATTGATTGATTTTGTTTAAACTTGTACTCTCTGTTAACTGATATAATATGAAAATTGGAGGTATTAGATGGTTTGAGGCATTAAGAAGGAAGCCATGGATCCAAGTTTCGTACTAGTTGGCATTCACCAGTCAGCAAAGCGTATCTGCAATCACCTCAAGGGAACTTATGTCCATTGTGAACTTCCAACCCGTTACCACTGGGTTATCTATGCTGGCGATTGACCACCTGGAGGACTGACTGTCTTGCATATTTTTGACTGGACACTAGTCAATTAGTAACTAGTGTGCAATGTGTTTATTCATTGGTGTTGATGCAGTATGGCCACCGTCAACCTAAGTGGCTCATCTTCACGGTTCACTTCGAAGTGTTCTTGAGAACTTGACTGAAGATAGAATTCGATATAACGCACCAAACAAAGGACTAGACACCTTACACACTAGTTACTGACCAGTGTTCAATCAAAACTGTAAGTATGTTAAAACTGTTTCTGTACATAAATAGGCCTAATACTGAGATAACCTTAGGCTGTAAATCGAGCTGATAAGGAGTCAACGAAAGTAACAAAGACGGTACCCTCTTATTCTACACAAACCGCTGTTGTTCTTGCTGTATTCAAATAGTATAGTAATAGTAATAATAATCACTTTATTCCAAGGAATAATTTTTCATAAAGAATGGAATTTTCAGCGCAATATGTCATACAACAAGTTGCCTTCCTTTAAAAATCAATAAATCAATAAATTCAAAATATAATCAAAATAATAAATTTTCAAGAGTTTGATTTGTAAGCATTTGATCTGTTTTTGTATGAGTCTGATCACGGATTGATATCAGTTAGAGAGAGAGAGAACCATTGAAAATCAGCATCGGATTACAGCTAGACGTCTGTTTCATCCTAGTTTGGCAATCATCGGCAGTACGCGCACCCACTGAGGTTCAATGATTCTCAAACTAGGCTGACGAATCAACTGTCTGGTAGTACTTACTCCCTGTGGCTGGTTTTCAATGACTTGGTACAGGAATGCAGTTTCCTGGAGTTCCAGTGAGAAGTATTGACCAGTAAGGTCCATCCAGTCGGGAGTGAGAATGGATTTTCCGCAGATGACATTGGTTTGTGGTTGTGCTAAATCACAGATATGTAGAAGTTCGAATTCATGGTCTAGTCATTGGATTGCGTCCTAGTGGTTGAATGGTCTATGAGCTCGCTAGTCTTGTAACCAGAAGGCCCTGGGTTAGAACCCTATACGTGGGTATGTATTGCTGAAGAGTCGCGAAACTGGATTCGATGCACCCCGGCAGTGGGTGTGTATTGACGATGGTTCGCAAGCTAGGACGAAACAGCTGTCTAGTACTCCCTGGTTGGTTCTTCAATGGTTCTCTTACTGATGTCAGCTCATGATGAAATCCTGTAACCAATCAGTGAAATCCCTTCCTTCCTTTCCTTCACGTGCCCCAGTGGAACATAGGGCCTCAAGCTAGTAGCTTGAAGTTTCTGTGACAGTGTTTATTTTACAAAATGGGGTTGCTAGTCTCATGCCCAACCTTTCCTTTTCACCAGCATTATTTCTGGCTAAGCGATGTAAAGGAGTGCGTCCGTGGCCGGGGATCCAACCTCGGACCATGTGCATGGTCGGCGAGCATACTAACCGCTATTCCACCGATGAAACTCTTACAAACTAATAAGTGATTTAGAATTCGGTTTAAATTGCTCAATAATCACAAAACCTCGATTCAAAGTCTTCCTGCCAATCCTCATTCGTTCAACTAACATCAAAACAACTCTAATCTTTTAGTGATACCTACATTGATGTATTCTCAGTGTGTGCGCCTTTCTCCCCCCCTGCACACACTTATTAAATCCTTCCTGATATCTTTTCAATCTTTTCTGCGTTGTAGTTTGATCGATTTTCCAAGGTAGAGTCACTAGTCCCACGTCCAAGGCTCCATCTTTACCTGGGCTTCGAACCGGCCAGAAAACTGGCGAGCCAGATAACTAGGCGAGGTTGTTTTTAATCTCTTCTATATATACCTCGCATAATTTAACACATATTTACTAACAAAAAAGTACATATCTTTCCAATATTTGAAATAGTCTGAACAAAATTCACAGTAAAATTTATTAATCAGCCTATTGGTGGACAGTACAAGCTAATAATGACATGAAAAACCCGGTGTACTAACCTAAATTAGCTATACATGGAATTTTAATGAAAGTATATGTATATAATCAATAATATTTGCACTATTACACAACTGCTTTTTATCAGATAGTCAGATATATTGTTACTACTAATATTATAATATATGTTGTAACATTTCATATGAAATTGTAACCTTTTGATACATACTACTATTGTCATATGGTGATAAACTTTGATATGGAGTTCGTTAGTAGTTATGATATGATTATTATCAATATTATTGCTTTTTATGTTTTATTATTGAATAATGCAGTATTGATTCCTGCCTTTGTTGACGTTGCTGTTGTTAAGGGGAACAAAATCAATCAATTAATCAATAACCATAAACTGATATCAGTGAGAGAACTATTAGAAAAACCAGCATGGCCTACTGGAAAGCTGTTTTGTCAGCCTAATTCAGAACTTATCGGAGTAGAATTTAGAATTCATGGACTAATCTCAGTAATTAAATGGTCTTCAAGGTTGCCTTAGGACCACCAGGTCCTGGGTTTGATCCCTAGAGCGGGGAGAGGTTTTCTGAAGAGTGCGAAACTAGAACGGGATAAACAGCTGTTCAGTACTCCAGGCTGGGTTTCCAATGGTTCTCTAACTGACATCTATCTGTGATCAAGCCTAAATTTTGTAAGGATTTTTGATGAATGTAGATAAATGAGCGTCATCGGTTCAGCGGTAGAACATCAACCAAGCACACCTCACTTGGCCTGGATTCTGATCCTCGGACAAAGCAAACTTAAACCCAGCTGAGCTGGTAGTGGTGATGGTGAGGAAGAAAGGCTGGTTGTGAGGTTAGCAACTCCACCCCACTAAAATAAAAGTCACTGCTACCGAAACTTCAGAGCTCTAGATTGAAGACTTATGTCCATTCAGAATGTAAGTGAATAAAAACGAGGATCAGAGTAGGTGTGATCATGCACTGACATCACCTTTAATGGAGAAGAGTCCTTGAAAACTAAGCAGTACTGGAGCACTGTGTTTCATCACAGCTTTTCAGGATTCTTCAGCGTTGTGTGCCTATGATCCAGTTAGGGATTTAAGCCAGACTAGTTTGTTGTCCATTCATCTAAAAAGAGGTTGAAATCCAATGACCTGGTGAATTCGAAATTCTGTCAATTCACGACTGCCACTAGCTCTTTTTCAACCTGATCCATCCTATGTCAGTTAACACTACCCATTGAGGAAGGCGATGGTTAGGGATGCATGCGTAACACATGTCCTAACCATCTGATTAGAGGCATTAGTCACAATAAATATCAAATGACATAATTTATTTTGAGTAAATAACTGACGAACTATTCCAATGTCAAAGATTGAATTCGTCTAAAGACTAACATCAACCATAAGAGTTCTTTCATTTCAGTATTTTGAAGGATACATCCCAGAGACCGCTGACTTAAAAGCATGAACAATCTAATAACTATTCAGTTAATGCGTAAGACATTTTCATTCAGAACTCCTATCAACAGTAAGCCTTATTGGTTACAGGGTTTCATAATGAGCTAATATCAGTTAGGAAACCATTGGAAAACCAACTGGGAGTACTGGGCTGCTGTTTCAACCTAGTTTATGATTCTTTATCAGTACTCACCCACCACAGGGGGTTCAAACAGAGGACCTTCTGGTTACAAGTCTAGTGAGCTCATAGACCATTGGGCTGCCAATTCACAATATATAGCGACCGCTAGCCAATGTCTTCGGCAAGTATTTGTCCTTACACCTAAACTTGCTGCACCCTAGTGGTCACGACTTCTCACCATAATCCCAGGTAACCTGTTACCAATCAATGAAATCCCTACAAACCAATACTTGAGTAAAGTTTTATGTTTTTCAGTTATCATTTCGTCGACAGGTAACCGTTACCACTGACTATTTTATTCTTTGATATTTTAATAGCCCACTTCAATTTTCTATCTTTGTTTCTTTTAGACGATAACCTAAACTCGCCAATATCTTCATCACTTGACTACTATTCATCACAAACACATTCAACCTCACCACATGATGACAATATAACAAATATGTACAACAACAACAATACAGGCAGCATCACCACCACCACCCACAACAACAACAACACCAATAATATTAATCATAATGACGATGATATCATTGATGGTGTTGATCGAGGTGATATTTGTCTAGTTGGAAATGATCGAGGCAGTAGAGATACCGGTGAAAATAACTCTGGTGCTGGTAATGAACTTCTTGTGGTAAAAATTAAAAAAATTCGAAAACCACGTACAATTTATTCAATATGGCAGCTGCAAATGTTGAATAGTCGTTTTATTCATTCACAATATTTAAATTTAACTGAACGAGCTAGCCTGGCTTCACAGCTTGGTTTAACGCAGACACAAGTAAGTTAGTTATTTTTAAATTTAAATGGATAGGTATAATACTACTGAAATTGGAAATGATGAGTAGTTTAAAAGAACAATTGGTTACATGATACAGTCTAATGTATCTTTTTTTCTCTCTCTGTGTAGTATTTCTCTTCAGATTCTTACGGTTCTGAGGAAAATATGGGGCATTGATATTGTTTTCAAGATGGTGGTTCACCAGCCATACGTCCCTAGAAAACTAAGCAAGGCTTAAGGGCTTTTTGCAGCGAGTCAAATGTGCACCATGTTCATGGTTGACTAACTGGTCTTAACATACAACTTTGCACAGATGTCCAGCAGCACCAGTTGCCACACTCCATCAATCTACTACACAAAGCCAGAGAACAGAGAAAAGCGATTCAAACGAGATATAATAAACGTAATTGTGAGTAAGGGAGAAAGAATAGTAGTGACATCAAAGAACAACATGGTGTTATTGGATTTGATAAATAACAGAGTGTAGATTTATCTACGTCATCCATTGACCAAGAGAACTTTGAACCATATCACTAATTGTCTCCAGACACTGCAATTAGTTCGTACCATTCCAAGGACTCCAACCAGGCAGTCAGGAAGTCTTCACCTCTGTACGCGGCTGCTAGGTCAAAATAAATGATTTGAAATTCATTGACTGATGAAGTCATGTTTTGGTTCGACCACCACGTACTAGCTCTTCTCCAACCTAATCGGTCCTATGTCAGATAACATCACCTGTTGTCGAGGAAAGAGATCGATGGCTAGAGAGGCCCGCAGAACCCGACACATGTCGTAACCATCTCAACTGATGCAAATGCTTCACAACCTAGTCGAATGATTTTCCCTCCTTACCAAGCACATGATCGATGTATCACTTCAATATTACCGACCTTATTGTTCAACTAACTACCTAACACGAGATGTAGAGAGAACCCAGACAGATATGATTAATGAAAGCTGGCTAGCTGGCCTATTTGCCTATTCCGCATTCAAAGATGTTGCCTGACTCACAGGCATGAAGGAGGCAGGTGGAAATGTGGCTAAGTGATTAACTTACTCAAGTGTCTGCCTCTGAATTGACATCTAAATAGTATTGTTTGTTCTCGAAAATAACTGTAGCTTAAAGTCTGTTAAGTAAAAATACATATATATATATATGTCGTATTCTAGCTAGAATGAAAAGTCTTGGTCTGACCTCAAAAACTCACCTGGTATGTCCGGCGGTGGGTAGACTTCAGAATTCCAATCTAAAATATCTTAATTGGACACGTAAGTATAATATTCGCCGTTTAAGTTATATTCAAAAGCTTTCCTAAGTGAAAGTGTGCCTCACATAAGAAAATAGCGAATACAGATGTCCGATGCTTAAGAAAAGATTGGTTCAAAAAAAGACCAGAGAGACGACCAGTTAAACATAGGATACAAAATTATGTAGTGCATGACCTCCACAATCAGAAAGGGTCCATTGGTATAGCAGTCTGTTTCCATCATCAAGGATCACAAAAACGCACCTCCTGACAGTTTATTTTCTTATTATTATTATTTCGCGGATGACTTATGTTTGATGTCACACACAATCGAAGACTTACAAGCGAAAACCGACAAACTGATCGAAGAAGCAGCAAAGACAAGACTCCAGGTAAACATAGACAAGACGGAGGTTATGAAAATAACCAACCAACAACAACGGCAGCAATATCCAGCGTCAATTACCATCAACGGGAGGGATTTGAAAGAGGTTACTTCATTCACTTATCTAGGGAGCATTGTCTCAACTACAGGAGGAGCGGACGAGGATGTCAAATCGAGAATCGGGAAGGCGAGAAACACATTCATCAGCCTGAAATCAATCTGGAAATCTTCGTCACTCAGCATCACCAACAAAGTTCGGATTTTCAATACAAACGTAAAGTCAGTCAGTTCTTCAATATGGATGAGAAACTTGGCGGGTCACAAAGTATATTTCCAAAAGGCTGCAGACCTTTATTAACAACTGTCTTCTCTCAATACTGAAGATTAGATGGCCGGAAAGAATCACCAACAAGGAATTATGGGAACAAACAAAGCAAGAACCAATCGCCCAACAAATATGCAGGAGAAAGTGGAAATGGACCGGACACTCGCTGAGGAGACCGCTGGGTGACATCGCGCGCCAAGCCCTCGAGTGGAACCCGAAAGGGAAGCGGCATGTGGGACGTCCAAGGATGACATGGAGGAGATCGTGTGAAGAGGAGTTGAAAGAAGATGGATTAACATGGATGCAGGCGAAAAGTATTGCAGAAGACAGAAGAAAATGGAGACGTGCAGTTGAAGCCCTATGTTCCACTAGGAACCCAAGGGAGCAATAATAATAATAATTATTATTTCTGTTCCCTCGGGTTTCTGTTAAAAGTTAGAGCTTAAGCAGAGCATCTCCACTTTTTCTAGGCCAACAGTGGCCCATAAACACTCATATTCTACGTGTTACACTCGGACCGAAGCTCAACTCGCTTTTTCCCATTCGGGTAACAGTCGAGCGATGGCTTGGAGGGCGATGTTATTCGAAGCTCTTATCGTTGTATGCGCGATCAATATCCACTGTCTTCCACATACTTGTTAATTTTGACAGGCTGTATGGGATAGAGTATGATTCACATGACCCACATATCATCCACGAAAACCCGATCTTTAAAAGTCATGTAGAAAACAAAAGATAATTCAGAGAAGGAAACTTTCCCCATCGACGAAATCATTTTCCTTCACAGGATGTACAGTCGTATTTATATTTACCAAAGCGTATAGTAGTCTAATACTGAGCAGTAGGGTATGTGTGTGTGCGATATAAGTGATATAATTACTCAGAAGTGACTTCAAAAGTAAAAATAAACGTTGCACTGTGTGTGGCCAATAGAGCCAGCTTCATACGGACAAATGAATTCATAAACACACACATTGAAGTGGCCAGTTCAAAGCGGCAGTTCATAATTCACACATCCAGTGATCATTTGTCTGATGGAAAATATGATCCACAGCTCAGGCGAAAGGAAAGCTTTATTCAGTGATCTGCATAAGTGGTTGTTCAGCATATCAGCTGCGGTATAACCTTTAAATTCAATGTTCATACAGAGCAGTCTCTTCAGAACCGTCTGGGTTTTTCCGGGCTTTTGATTTTCCTAAATGTTTTTTTCGATAAATCTTGGAGGATATCCATTTTCCGTGCAGACTTGTTCAAGTCGCTCAAGTTCCCCGTCGATTGTATCACTGATACATCTCCTTCTTATTCTTCAGGATAAGGAGTGGAAAAAATTCGTAGTTGGGTCCCTTTGAGAAGGAAGAGAAACCTGACCCGCTCTTTATCCTGAAGAATAAGAAGGAGATGTATCAGTGATACAATCGACGGGGAACTTGAGCGACTTGAACAAGTCTGCACGGAAAATGGATATCCTCCAAGATTTATCGAAAAAAACATTTAGGAAAATCAAAAGCCCGGAAAAACCCAGACGGTTCTGAAGAGACTGCTCTGTATGAACATTGAATTTAAAGGTTATACCGCAGCTGATATGCTGAACAACCACTTATGCAGATCACTGAATAAAGCTTTCCTTTCGCCTGAGCTGTGGATCATATTTTCCATCAGACAAATGATCACTGGATGTGTGAATTATAAACTGCCGCTTTGAACTGGCCAATTCAATGTGTGTGTTTATGAATTCATTTGTCCGTATGAAGCTGGCTCTATTGGCCACACACAGTGCAACGTTTATTTTTACTTTTGAAGTCACTTCTGAGTAATTATACCACTTATATCGCACACACATACCCTACTGCTCAGTATTAGACTACTATACGCTTTGATAAATATAAATACGACTGTACATCCTGTGAAGGAAAATGATTTCGTCGATGGGGAAAGTTTCCTTCTCTGAATTATCTTTTGTTTTCTACATGACTTTTAAAGATCGGGTTTTCGTGGATGATATGTGGGTCATGTGAATCATACTCTATCCCATACAGCCTAAATCCAACAAACTGGTATAAGTAGCAGGTGATGAAAATAGAACTTGAACTAAACATATGGAAGATGGCGGTAATGAAGTTCACCGACGATCAACTACAATAACTAGTAACATTTACTCTCACTGGGGGAAATATGAAAGTTTGTCACATCTTTCACCTCTCTGTGAAGTATCGTTTCAACTATAGATTGAAAAGATGAAGATTTCGAATCCATGATTAGAAAGCTTCCACACTGAGCATAAAATCAATATTTGGATTTTCAACATGATTGTTAACTCAGTCACTTCTTCCATATTCTGTTCTAAATTCTTACTCCGCGTCACTAGATGCATTTTTGACAGCCAGCAGCCTTCACTGGCTCTATATTGAAGATAAGGCCACTGGGGGGGGGGATTAGCGACATGAATCTCTTGAACGAACCCCCTGGGAACTTATGTCAAAATTAACAAATATGTAGATGACAGTGGATATTGGTTGGAGGTATACTGATGGAACCTTTGAATGACATCACTCGTCTTGGCATCACTCGAGTGTTACCCGAATGGGAAAATGCGAGTGAAGCATTAGTCCAAGGGTGATATGGAGGGGATCTAGTGACTGGGAAGTGAAATTGTATGTGTACTCTAATCAGACAGGATTTACTACAAAAAATAAGACGAATTGGAGATGTCCTGCTGAAGCTCTAACTTTCGATCGAATCCAAATGGAAAAGAAATGATACGAAAATTTACTTATTGCGAGACTATTTGTCAGTGTGAGGAGGTTCGTTTTTGTGATTCTAGTTGACGAAATGAGACTACTAGGCCATTCGGCCCTTTGTGATTCTGGAACTCATATATTCCATAAGTTAGGATTCACAGTTTTCCAGTTCCTCTTGTTTCCAACTCTTTCTTTTCGAAATTTTTTTAATCCCTGATATGTGCCCATATATATGTATATATATGTGTGTATGGTGATCTCTCTTTCTGTTTGCTCGCTTAGTCTGTGACCATTTAACCTTGATG